AACCATAAGTAACAATGCACAAGCACCAGAAGAGAGACTAGATATATGGGAGCTCCTAAAAATCAAACACTTATGCTCATCAAAAGACTTCACCAAAAGATTAAAAACACAACCTACAGACTGGGAAAAAAATTATGTTTTTGTTTTCCATAAAATGTTATTTCTGTCTTTTGTTCCTTTTTTCTATTATATGGTTTTCCTTTTTCTCATTTATTTGTATGCATTCTATACATACTGTGATATTGATCATTGTCATGGTTTGAATTATGTCCGCTAAACCATGTGCGTATCAATTTGGCTAGGCCATGAGTCCCAGAGTTGTGTGGTTGTCCTCCATTTTGTGATTGTAATTTTACATTAAAGAGGATTAGTGTGGGATTTAACACTACCCTAACCCAGGTCACATCCCTGATCCAATGTAAAGGGAGTTTCCCTGGGGTGTGGCCTGCACCACCTTTTATCTCTTGTAAGAGATAAAAGGAAAGGGAAGCAAGTGGAGAATGGGGGACCTCTTACCACCAAAAAAGCAGTGCCAGGAGCAGAGCGCGTCCTTTGGACCCGAGGTTCCTGCGCAGAGAAGTGCTCCTAGTCTGGGGGAAGACTGATGATGAGGAGGACCTTCCTTCTGAGCCGACAGAGAGAGAAAGCCTTCCCCTGGAGCTGACGCCCTGAATTTGGACTTCTGGCCTACTAGACTGTAAGAAAATAAATTTCTCCTTGTGAAAACCATCCACTTGTGGTATCTCTGTTAGAGCAGCACTAGATGACTAAGACAATCATATTTCACATATGTGTTATAAATATCTTCTCCCAATTTTTAGCTTCCTTTTTTTCATGTATTATAAGATAGTTTAAAATAAAAAAATGTTTTTAATCTCAATGTAGTGGACTTCCTTTGGGCTAACTGATTCCTTGAGTCTTTCATTTTCTTCACTCTCCTTTGCTTAGGATGGAAAGAGACCAAGAGTTGTAACTTAGAAAGCTGCTTACAAGCTTTCAAGGTCACAGACGTGACTCACCAAAGTAGGGTGTAGAACACTGTCTTTATGAACTGTGTTATGCCAATTGACCTCGATGTCCCTGAGGCTATGGTCCTTAGCCTTCAAGCCCAATAATTCAGTCCTGTGAGGTGTTTGGTTATGTCTAGGAAGTTTCCATGACTGTGACCCCGTGTGCCCTATTATAAAAATATGGAACGCTTCAGGAATTTGTGTGTCGTCCTTGTGTAGGGGCCCTGTTAATCTCTATATCATCCCATTTTAGTACATGTGCTGCCGAAGCAAGCACTGTTGTGGCAATTTTAATAAGTAATGCTCCTCCCATTAAGAGTTGCAGTCTATGCCCCTCTTCTTGGATCTAAGAGAGCTTGTGGTTATTTGATCATTGGGTATGTTAGAAGTGATGCCATGTGACTTCCAAGGCTGGGTCAGTAAAGTCCATGCAGCCTCTGCCTGTTCACTGGAATGCTTGCTCTTGGAGTTTTGAACCATTATGTAAGAAGTCTGACTACCCCAAGACTACCATGCTGGAACCCGAAGCCACCTTGAGAAGACACATTTAGACATTCCAGCTGAGATTCCTCGATGAGCCAAACTTTTGGGTTAGTGCATCCCAAATGACAGGCAACTGACAGAAATGTTTTCCAGGTAATAGTAGCTCCAGGCATTTTGAGTTACCCCCAGTTGTTGACTCTTTCCAGCTGAATCCTCAAACATTGTGGAACCACACTATGCTGTATTCGAATTCTTGACCCACAAAAGCAGCTGTTTTGAACCACTAAGTCTTGGAGTTGTTTATTAGACTACAATAGATACCCAGGACACATGTTAAATAGAACTGAAGGAAGATCTGATGTAGATGGAAGCATGGGCAACAGGAAGCTCTGGGATTCAAGAGTCCATGGTCCTTCGATCGCACTCAGCTAACTGGCTGTGCACACCACCTCAAGTTACTGGGCTCAATTTCCCATCTGCAACACTATTGCTTTGCGCTCAATAATTTCTGTTTCCTTCTAGCTTTATATTCTCTAAATGTAAACTAGTCCAATCTGTAATTTTGTAATTTAAAGTTAGAATAGACTTACTAACTCAACTCAGAGCTTCAATTTTCAGGATTTGCTAATGGGTGTTGTTGTTGCTAGGTGCCGTTGAATTGGTTCCGGCTCATAGTGACCCTATGTACAACAGAACAAAACACTGCCTCGTCCTGCGCCATCCGCCTAATCGTTGTTATGCTTAAGCACATTGTTGCAGCCACTGTGTCAATCCATGGGTGTTAGGTGTTATTATTAATACATTTTATTTACTTGATTTTTAACATTCACAATCTAAAATTCTTGATAAAAATTATTTGTCATTCATAGTGCATACTCTGACTATATTTAAAAGAGTTAGAGACTATATACATTTATTAGGTTGTAATTTAAAAGAAAACATAAAGAGGTAACATATTAAAATTTATATTACTATAGTTATCATTGGGTCCCTGGGTGGTACAAATGGTTAAGCCTGCTAACCAAAAGGTTGGAGGTTTGACCTCACCCAGAGGCACCTCAGAAGAAAGACCTGGTTATCTGCTTCCAAAAAAATCAGCCACTGAATCTCTATGGAGCACAGTTTTACTCTGACATACATGGGGTCACCATGACTCAGAATAGACACAACAGCAACGGAAATAGTTATCATACACAAGCTGATTCCCATAACAAACAGTTCTGAATGATCTACAAGCAAAGGGAAAACATTATGGGTTATTGAACATCATTGATTAAAATTTGGCAGATACATTTCTGAATAAAGATCAAAGATACCCTGGTTATGTGCTGTAAATAAGAGCTATGTAGTAATAAAGAGTAATGAAACTTGAAAAATCCAAACAAAACTCTCATAATACTGACAACACTCCTGTCAGGTAGATATCACAGTATTGCTATTTCACAGATGGAAAAACCAAGGATGAGAGAGAGTGATTACAACTGTTCCAAAGTATACACTTTACTAGTGCCAGAACAAGGGATCAATCACGGATTCATTATCTTAAAATTTCATTCTCTTCCTAGTATGCGTATAATAAATTCTAAATTCAGTTCAATGTCAGGACCTTATACTAGGACATCGGTCACCCAGTGACTAACCTCTTCGACAGCAATTGTGCAAAAATACCCTGTATTAACTTTCAAAAAGGCTGAGGTTACAAAGATAAAATGATCACAGGAATGATGCAAGTGTTGTTTATATTAGGCAGAGAGGGGAGGCTAAGCAAATAAAATTCAGGAGACGGAAAATGTTTCTGGAGCACTTAGAAGAAGAGAAGGCTGGCCTGTCCTCACCCTTGTCTTTCTCAAATGTCAACCTCTTTAACCAGGTCTATGATAAGAAATTGGAAAGCAAACAGTTCAAAATTGGTTTTTCTTGGCAAGTTGTTGGGATAAACACTGTTAAATAAATTTATTGTGAATCATTGCAACATGCTGGAACCTGCATGTGCAATAGCAAAAGTGTTGTGTGGTCCAGTAATTTTGGTTAATGTTTTCATCAGAAAAGGGCTGACACCTTGCAGTTTGATCTCATAGGGTATTGTTTATATTTGTAAGTTTGAATGTTAGTAAACAATCAGCTCTGAATCTTGTAGAATTTCCTCTAAATATTGTGGTTACAGTTGATCTTCACCTATAAATCCTTCTGTTCATTTTGATACAAAGAAGAGTCTCAGAGGACCCATTCTCCACTGTCTTGACAGTCAGCGTGGTCAGAGAGACACAGAAACGACCCTGACCTCTTTCATTATTCCCCATAACTAAGGCACTAAGAAGCCCTGATAGTGCAGTGGTTAAGAGTTATGGCTGCCAACCAAAAGGTTGGCAATTTGAATCCACCAGCCGCTCCCTGGGAACCCTGTGGGGCAGTTCTGCTCTACCGTATATGGTGGCTATGAGTTTAAATCGACTCGATAGCAACAGGTTTGTTTTTTTGTTTTTGGAAGGCACTAAAAGACTGCTGTCCCTTTTACCCCTGGCCTTCTTTCCCCATTGATGGATTTCCTGGACACAGAAGATATGTCTTCGCCTCAAATTTTTATGGGCAATTTTATGCTACATTTCTTTTCAATTCTTTTAGGCCTTTTAATTTATTTGAATTGTGGTAAATACTGGTGGAAATAACACTCCTGTAAATTAAAATTTTCCACAAGTTTTTACTAACAAACAACTTTCCCCTCTTAAAGACTAGAAATAAAAATGTTAAGAGAGATCCTGAAATGACACTAGATCTAATCTTGAAAGGGAGTTTCTTTTAAAAACTTTGCAACAATTTGGAATTTTATTTTCAGTCTTTCAGTAAGTAATTACACACATCCCTTTGTTCTAGGCATTATAACAGATTTTGTAGGAATCTTAAGAAAATGACTGGGCCATTTCCTCTCTCTATTCTTTTGTAGCTTATTTTCTCTGCCTGGAATCCGCTTTCCTCCTCCCTGGCCTCTTTTAGGATTCCTAGCCAGTTTTCGGTAACCCAATATTTACTTATTTTGGAAATCTTCTACAATTTCAACAGGCAGAATTAGGAGTTGCTCCCTCAGCTGTTATAGTAGCAATCTGTGCCTTTCATTTATTCAATAGATATTCATTAAAATTATATATTGCTTGCCTGCCATGAGCCAGGCACTGGTCTGAGCCTGGGGTAATAGCAGTGACAAGGACAGAGAACTCTCTAATATGATGGAGGTTACATTCAAGTGAGGTCAGCAAACAAATAATAAACACATCTATAGCATCACGCCTTTGTAAGCACTAACAAGAGAAGTAAAGCAGGGCAAGATTGTATACTGAGATTTCTGAGGACAGGCAAGGAGGCCTCTTTTATGATGTGATGATTAAGCAGAAACCTACGTGACCCTTAAGGAGAGAGTATCCCAGCAGAGGGAAAAAAACAAAAGCAAGGTTCTAAATTGCATTATGCTTGACCTGCTCAAGGAACAAGGGGCCAGCAGGTCTGGAGTTTAATGAGCGAGGGAAGAGTGGGAAGAAATGGCTTGGGGAGTGAGTCAGCAGTCAAATCATGCAGGATCATGTAAAGCTTGGTCAGTACTTTAGATTTTTTCTAAGCCATTAGAAGGTGTTGAGTAGGGGAGTGACATGATCTAACTTATGTTTTTAAAACATCAATCTGGCCGCTCAGTAGCTTCACAGTAAGCATTGTATTACATCCTACATCTTTATTTAGAGTCTTGCATTATTTGTGTGCAGGCCCTCTCCCCATTTAGGATATAAAACAAGTGGGCTATATAGGGTGGAAACCTGAAAACCTAAGCAGGAAGCCTCTGAAAGGCAGAGAAGAGTTAGATTGCTTTTCTGCAGTCAGGCAAGAAGATTAAATTTCAGACCCATCAAGGTCAGTGGCTCCATGGAATTCACAAACTCTTAGTTAAAAACTTGAAGGTCAGTGGTGATTGAGCCTTACCAGGGCTTCAACTCAATTTCTACTGAGCATAATTTTCATTTGGAATAAAATGACCATTTACCACCTTTCCAATGAAGGGACAGATAAACCTCTTAAGCAGAAAATACCCTTATCTGGAGGCTCTACAATTTTTAATATGTAATAAATGACATTCAAACAGAACTTACTAATCACACTGAAAGCAGGACCACATAACCTGTAGCTGGGGAGAAAAAGCAGATAATACTAACCAGTCCACAGGGTACCCAGACTGAAGTTAGCTGGCAAAGACTTTAAAGTAGCTACACTTAAATATGTTCAAGAAAATAGAGAAAATGGTAGAAAAATAAGTGAAAAGATTGAAAATTTCAACAACAAACAGAATAAATACAAAGCAAATCACACCAAGGCAACTCATTGTAAGATTGCTGAAGAATAAAGACAGAGCAAAAATGATTCAAATAAGCAAGAGAAAAAAAAAAGCCTGCCCATTGCCATCAAGTCAATGATTCCAACTCATAGAGACCCAGGTCTAAAGTGTTTTATGGTTATATTTACCACTCTTTTAAGGAACACATAATTGTTACCTTTTTCCAACTCCTTTAAAGAATAAAAATTAAGGGAAACATACTCTCAATTATTTCATTAATTCTGTATAATCTTTGTAGCAAAAATGAATAAGAGAAGCCCCCTTAACTATATATATAGCACTTATCAACATATGCAAAAGAACAAAATTTAAAACATGCAAATCAAATTCAGCAGTATACAAAAAATAATATTTCATGCCAGACATATCTTAGGAATGAGGGATGGTTGAACATAAGAAAATATATTAGTGTAATAAAATCT